GAGCTGTGTTCAGGAGCTTGTCCACCACATCCAGGGCGAGGATATTATGTTGCTAAGCGACCTGAACATTGATTCATTCCAGACCAATAGGCCAATGTATCAAAGCTTACACACGTCGTTACTTCTTCCCCTTAACCTCCTGAACAAAGTTTGTTCTGCGACACGGACCACCCCCACATCTGCTTCGTCAATTGACTATATCCTCACAAATTTGGCTGCAGTCAGAGACGGAGTAGTGTCTCCCTGCGAGTTCTCCGATCATGATCTGGTTTATGCAGCATTGGATGTAAAGTCCAATACACAACTGCCTGCTTACGATGCTACCTTGAAGACCCGCGACTATAGGAACATCAACTTCCCAGACTTAATAGGTCGCCTTGAGCATGCAAACTTGTCTTCGTTCGCGTCTACAAACGTCGATCAAATGCTTGACGAATGGTTGGGTAAATTCAACACCGTTCTAGATGTGGTAGCGCCGTACAAACAACCTGGTAGACCCACAAGACCGCTCAAGAAGCACTGCCCGTTCATGACCCCAGAGCTCTTGGCACTCATCCGCCAGAGGAAATCAGCTTTTCGTCGATATCGCGCCAGTGGCTGCATTGACACTACATTACAGCGATGTTTTACCTCTCTGAGAACTCAGTGCAACAATCTCTATCGTCGACTTAGACATTCCCATTTCCAGAACGTGTGCCTAAAATATAAGCAGAGCCCAAAGCTGTTGTGGTCCACTATCAACCACATAACTAATCGATTTCGTTCCCACATCCCTCCTGCGGTTGCAGCTGACGAGTTGAACACCTTCTTTCATAAGATAGTGACTGATCCAAACCCCAGGTCCGACATCCCAGTTGGACCCCCGCCTCAATCTGCATTTGGTATGTTTTATGCAAGTCACTGTAACAGACGTCAGGGCAAGACTTGCCTCCCTCGACAGCAGCAAAACACCAGGACCCGATTTTCTTCTTCCCAGTATCCTGAAGGCCACATCCAATGTTATTGCACCTTCTATATCAGCCATTTTCAATACTTCTCTTCAATCTTCGACTTTCCCTCATCTTTTTAAAATCGCTTATTTCACCCCCATTCTTAAATCCCGGCAGGGTGATCACACCTCTCCGTCCAACTATCGCCCAGTGTGGCTTGCGAGCATTCTCAGCAAAATGCTCGAACGGCTTGCCCTTGACCAACTGCTGCGGGACTTCGACCTGTATACTTGTCTACACGATCATCAATTTGGCTTCCGGCCCCAGCGATCAATAGTGCAGGTCATGACCTTGGCTGTAAATGACTGGACATTAGCTAGAGATGTGGGTCATACAACCGTTGTAGCATTTATTGACTTAAGCAAGGCCTTTGATCGAGTTGTGCACCAGGAACTTATCTTTACTTTGCACAGCTTAGGCATTCATAGTTCTGCCCTGAAATGGTTCGCTTCCTACCTGAACGGCCGGTACCAGCGTGTATGTATAGCCTCTGGAACATCATCTCTTCTCCCTGTAACCCGAGGGGTTCCCCGGGGAACAATCTTGGGTCCCACCTTTTTAACCTATATGTGCGACTCTTACCTGACCTGGCTGCAGGGAGCGGTGCAAAGCTCCTCATGTTTGCCAATGACAAGACTTTGTACGCTTCCTCGCGAGATCCAATACTAGGCGCCGATGTCGTGTCCTCGGCTCTCGCTAAGATACACAATGAACTAAGATCACTGGGCATGAGCGATAATGTTGACAAAACCGTGGTCATGAGGATCTTGCCGAAGAATGCTCCTGACGTACAAAGACCCGTTCTTGTTGAGCTAGGCGGCACTAACTTAAGGGAAGTGAGTGTAATTCACTGCCTTGGTATCCTTATGGATAACAAGCTCTCATTTGTTCCACACGTAGATCACCTCACCAGCAAGGTGTCATGCAAGATAGGCGCGTTGCGACGCACCTTCCGCCAAATGGCAGCATTTGCCCGTCGCCAGTACCTGCTTAGTGTGATTCAGCCCGACTTTGAGTATTGTTTCCCTGTTTACGCATCTCACCTATCAGCACAGTCCAGGGAGAGATTGTTTACCTTTTTCCGTAGAGCCGTACGAGTTACCTGCGGTGCTTGTTTGAAGTTTTATTTTACATCGCAAACCAAACGGGCATTGATGCCCAATATTATGATGGCGATAGAATAAAAAGTGTGGCTCGATAAAGCTTCACTTGGGAAAATGAGAAAACAGTCAAAAGGAAGTATTTGTACCGGTAATTACAAGTCAAGTTCGAACGAAGTAACAATCAGGGAGAAATAGGAAGATGAGGACCTATGCCAGAGGGAGGTGCTATTCGGCCATATTAACCGTAGAAAAACACTTTCAGCAATCTTTTAAACGGGGTTGGACGACGAGCGGACGTGAGTTCCTGTGGCAGGGTGTTCCAAAGCTTCACGGCGGAAACCAATGGTCGGCTGTCGCCAGATGTTCGCCGAGTTAGCGGAACAACGTATTTGCAATTGTCATTGCCACGGGTGTTACTGGGAGGTTGGAGGGCTACTCTATCTTTCAGAAGAAGGCTGATGCTGCTGGTGTGGACACGGTGCATAAGGAAACGGAGTTTGCATTTGGCACGTTCAATTACAGGGGTCAGGGAAAGGCGAGTGTATATAGGAGTGGTATGGGACGGGAAGGGCAGATTGGCTACGCAGCGAACACATCGCTTGTCGAGGACAGTGAGCTGGTGCCGCTGCTGAGCCGTGAGGGCAGAGAAAAACGCGTTTGATCCATAAAGCATGTCAGGAAGTATAAGGGCAGAATAGAAGAGGAGCGACTGGCGTTCAGATAGCGATGGGCGGATGGTTCTCAGGGTGGTTAGCTTCTGGGAAGTTTTACGTACTAGGCTGGAGACCTGCGCGTCCCACCGAAGACAGGAATCGATCTGTAGGCCCAGAAAGCGAGCAGTGGTGGTCTGGGTGAGAGGCGTCCCGTTGCAGTTAACGTTGAGTTCCAGGGTACTACGGCGTGATGCCTCAATGGCTAAGACCTGCGTCTTGTCAGGGTTTAAAACCAGGCCTTTCCCGTGTAGGAGGATGCGGAGCATGATGATGAGTCGGTGGAGCAGGGAGGAGGTGACCAGGTGCTAACAAGGAGGTCGGTGGATGGAGGAGAAGAGGAGGAGCGTTCAGATGGGTCAGTTGAGGAAGTTGATACCGAGGATGAAGCGGATGGCGATGAGGCTTGTGGGGTCGGGTGTGATTGTGACCTGGAGTTGGATGTGAAGAAATCGGCAGTTTACAGGCATTTGGTGGGTCATCCTGAGTGTTGTCATTCGTACTCGGTTTCTTCTTTCACTGTGTTGTGTCGTGCGAGTCATACTTATATCATGCAGCTTAAAGTTTTAGAAGCAATCTTCATTCACTTGTACAAGCCAGTGTTGTGTGTACAGAAGGAAAGTGTTATCACCCACAAATTGTTTACGTAGTGTATGGTGCGAGTGTTGTGAGTATGATTGCCCCCCCCCCTCCGTTCACACTGCCTTCCGTCTGTTCAGGTTCTTTCTTCGTTTTGCTGATGCTGATGATTCACATATGCATTGTTCTTACCTGCTGAGCTTGCCTCCCACTGAATAGATGTAGTTTAATCACCTTTTTTGTTTCGCTCTTTTTTACCTTCTTTCACTTTTATTTGTCCATATAAGATTAGTTCCAGTATTTCCCATTCCATTGTTACGTAGATTCACTGATGATTGTAACAAGAAAGCAGTTCTGAACGAATCCTCGCTTTCCCTTCCTTGTGTGCCTTGCGATAGTCGTACAACATTTTACACATACATGTCTACATATATGAAATGTTTACTGTGCAATTAGTTATCTTTGTAGCTATATTAAAACTGCTGTCTCCGAAACGCTTGTTCATATATCGATACATTTATCAATTTCTTACGTTTACGTTTATTTGTCATATTGTTCAGCCTGCATCTTGCTTACGCAGTCTTTTCCCTTTGCCCACCTCCAAGCGGTCAACTAGTGGAACTACAACAAACAATTTGTCAATTTGCTTGTATAAATCCATGGTAGGGTACAATTCCTTTTCCTCCAGAGCATCCCTTATGTGGAATGCCCTCCCTGCTCACTCATTTTCTACAGAACTTGTGCACGCTCTAAATGACGACAAATTGACTATATCACCATATCCCCTCCTTTTTGAAAATGTATTTCACCAATAAAATAAGGCTTGGAATTTTTTTAAACATGAATATCGACGGACTTGTCCCTTCTGTTCATGCATTGCCCTGCTCTAGTAATGGTTCATGAATCCGCCCAGTCCACATTCCTTCTCGCTTTCTCTCCGTTTTTCTTTCTTTTCAGTTGCATCTTCCTCTCTGTTCTGTTTTATTTTCTCTTTTCGTTCGACCCTCTTGATATTTGTACTTTGTACTGTTGAGGCATCGAACTGAAATACAGTCAAATCTGCCGTTAGCGACCTCTGCTGTAGGCGACCATCTACCGTTGGCGACCGATTTTCCGTGCACCGACGGTTTCACATACAAATTGATCTGTCCAGAGCGACCATCTGCTGTGCGCGACCAGCGACCGCGATTTCATGCACGGTGGCTGCATTCAAATCTGCTGTAAGCGACCGCAGCCCACATAAGTCGTTCAGTCAGGTGCGAAACTGTACTTGCCAGTGTGCTGTCAACTGCATGCAAGGTGTGAAAATGCGTTGTCTTGCAAGTGCGCCCCAATATCCAATAAAATGATATGAAAAATCACATTATTCTCGTCGATTTGAGTACATGGAAGCATAATTATATGCATGCCCGGTATGCCGGATTTACCATACATCTGCCGTAAGAGACCATCTGCCGTAAGAGACCGCTTTTTCTTGCACCAAGAAGGCGGTCGCTTACGACAGATTTGACTGTAATAAAAACCAAACCAAACCAACTGTTATATCCTAGACTGGGTGTTTTGTGCACTACCCGGAACTAAGCAACAACAACATTGTCCTTGTGGCTTGTCGTTTGTAGAGATTTGTTTAATACTCAGATCCAGACTTTAAGTGATGGTGTGTTCTCTGGTCTAACAAACCTCCGAAGACTGTAAGTATTCTCAATTACGCCATTGAATGCAGGGAACAGTTGTAGAACTGTGTATATATAGAGTACTGCTGAATATGTGATGAACAAACCTCGATTATCTGTGAGTATTATTATCTGCTGCACTGATTGAAGGGAACAGTTGTACACGCTGTGTGTGAAATGCTTTGTTGTGCAGCCTCTGATTCTCGTAAGTGTCAGAAACGAACGAGCGCACGGCACGAGGACAACTATTGACTCTTAACGGTATATTTCACTTGATCGAACATAATGACTCAGTCTAAGACCACCAGATAATTATAGCATACAAATGACAGCGTACACAGTAAATCGCACATAGCGCATATAGCGTATACCATGCATGATGCATCAGCGGTACGGCGGAGTCGAAATACGAAATTCAAGCGAATACCATGTCATCAGCGAGAACTTGTGGTTTTGTAAAATCCACCCCCTCCCCTCCTCCCAAAAGGACTTCTCAGCGTCGTACAACAGCTCACAAGTCAAGCGATTCGGGGCTCACTACGTGTCATCTGCTGCTGCAATGGTGACCAAGGTGGAATATCAGTGCTCACCACTTCTGCCAACTCAATTGTTCCAAGCTCGTCGATGTAGGCTGTGACAAATGACACGGTCACAGGCTTATTGTTTCGACACGTTCCAGACGATGGACCAGACAACACACAACCTATCTCTGTTTCCCACACAGTCTCGCCTTCTCCTTTCCTTAGGCAGAGACTCCAGCTTCTTCTCGGCGTGTCCGACCGATATCGACATGCAATGCGCCGATATAGTTGGCTTTAGACCTGATCCTCCCACTGGTTTCTTGGCAGTATCGCCCTGTCGTCCGTGTGCGACCTGGTAATACGCACCGTGCTCCTGAACCTGACGCAGAGACATCCTGTAGATCAGGTCCGTCTTCATCTCAGATTCACATTGTTCCAAGATCAACTGCTTTGCCATTGCTAGCAGCACATGGGTCATCTTATCAATCCTAGCGCTATACTTGGTGTCCACCTCACTATCTTCAGTCATAGTTAGCGTGGCCTCTAAATCATCTCCTCAGCGTCTTTTTTTTTTTTTTTTTTTTTTTTTTTTTACAAAGACCACTTAATGCCAAACATGAGATGCAGCTAGGGGAAGCACGCACAACCTGAATCGTGGCAGTGGTGGTGAGGTTTAGGGAGCTCCGCCGACCTAGGGTCTCGACATCATAGCCACCTAGACGCACCAAGAGTGGGTGGGGAGGGAGAGCGAGAGAGAGAGAGAGAGAGAGAGAGAGAGAGAGAGAGAGAGAGAGAGAGAGAGCGGGAGAGAGCGAGAGAGAGAGAGAGAGAGAGAGAGAGAGAGAGAGAGAGAGAGAGACAGAGAGAGAGAGACAGAGAGAGACAGAGAGACAGAGAGACAGAGAGAGAGAGAGAGAGAGAGAGAGAGAGAGAGAGAGAGAGAGAGAGAGAGAGAGAGAGAGAGAGAGAGAGAGAGAGAGAGAGAGAGAGAGAGAGAGAGAGAGAGAGAGAGAGAGAGAGAGAGAGAGAGAGAGAGAGAGACAGACAGAGAGACAGAGAGAGAGAGAGAGAGAGAGAGAGAGAGAGAGAGAGAGAGAGAGAGAGAGAGAGAGAGAGAGAGAGAGAGAGAGAGAGAGAGAGAGAGAGAGAGAGAGAGAGAGAGAGAGAGAGAGAGAGAGAGAGAGAGAGAGAGAGAGAAAGAGAGAGAGAGAGAGAGAGAGAGAGGTTGCGAAATTGTTAAAGTAAAATAAAAGGAACATTGAAAATATGAGATGATTGGTGAGGTGACTGCAGCCTCAGCTATTTGGCCAGCAAAGTCATAATTGTTACAGTAGGCCAGCTATTACATGAACAAGGGAGCTACTGTGCCGCAACATAGAGCGAGGGAGAGTATATAAGCTAGCGAAAAAACTTCAATAAAGACACTGTCTCAGATGCGGTGTGTGCACTACGGCTGAGGTGGGTGTGGGAGGTCTGCTAGAGGCTCTCAGTCGCCCAGCTCCAGTGGTGCAGCTGGAGGTGACGGTGGACACGGCACTTAAAGGCTTGCAGGCCCTCCAGGTGTGGGGGTCTCAGCAGTATGCTTTGGGGCAGAGCATTCCATGTCTGCACAGCGCTGGCAGGAAATGCGCGAAGACAGCTGTTTCGGGTGCGTGCTGGCAGGTTAGTCGATAGCTGGTGTGGGTGCGTAGGCTGAGCAGACACGCGGGTGGGCTGTATGTCTCGAGGTCGACGTTGGGCACCAGGGGGGAGGATCTTCTTTAGCGGGCTGTCCGCATCTAGGCAGAATAGCTTGTACAAGTATGCAAGCGAGGCCACTGTTCGCCGCAGAGATAGACTAGGGAGCCAGGAGCCCGATCCGATGATGTGGATGGCTCGTCGCTGGATCTGGTCTAGCTTGGCCAAGTGTGAGGGTGGCGCACCAAGCCAGACCAGGGGACAGTACTCCAGCACAGGTCGGACAAACCCATTGTAGGCTCGGAGTCGGCCAGGGGGCTCTAGGATAGCAGAGGCCTTCCGCAGGAAGCCTAGGCGTTGCTGTGCTCTGGAGCGGATCGTGCGGATGTGCTGCGCATATGTCAGCTGGGAGTCAAAGGTGACGCCCAGGAGCTTCAGGTTGCCTGCCTCGCTGACTGGCGTAGCGTCGAAAGTGGTTCCCGGGAGCTGCCAAGGCTGGCGATGATGTGCGATTGTCATGGCTTGGGTCTTGGAGGGCTCAAACTTGATCTTCCACTCCACGCCCCAGCGAGACAGTGCATCCACACCCTGTTGCATGATAGCAGAGCTGCCAGGTATGGACACTCTTGAGGTGATGAAGTTGAAGAGCGTAGTGTCATCGGCATATGCTGCGAGGTCCATTCCAGGAGGGAGATGGTCCTCGGCGTCATTTGTGTACAGGATGAACAGTGTCGGTCCCAGGATGCTGCCCTGGGGGACGCCAGCTCTCACCGGGTAGGGCTGAGATAGCTCCCCACCAACAGCTGCGGTAAGGTTCCGGTTGCTCAAGTAGTCGCGGAGCCAGCCAAGCAGGTGACCAGCTACGCCATAGCACTCTGCCTTGTGGAGCACTCCGGTGTGCGAGACACGGTCAAACGCACCAGCCACATCCACTGCGATCACCCTTACTGCACCACCGCTTGCGGCCACCCTGCCCCACTGCGAATTCAATAGGGTGAGGATATCCTGGGTGCCAAGTCTGCTGCGGAACCCATACTGGCTCTGGGAGAGGATATTGTTTGACTCAAGGAATTTCCTGAGGGCACGGTTGACGATAGCCTCCATCACCTTGGACAAGATGGGGAGGAGTGAGATAGGTCTGTAGTTGCTCACATCAGATTTCGATTTCTTCTTGTGGACGGGTACAACCATGGCAGTCTTCCATAGGGTAGGCTGGCGTCCTGCCCGAAAGGACTTGGCGAACAGTTTCGACACAGGGACTGAAAGTTCCTTGCTGCACTCCTGCAAGACTCGGCCAGGCAGGCCATCTGGTCCTGTGGCTTTTGCAGCGGAGACCTTCCTGAGCTCGCGCTCGACCGCACAAAGTCGGAAGTGCACTGTGTGGAGCTGCGCATCTGAGCGGCGACGAACTGGTGGGAGCGCGTCTGCCTGCAAGTCATCCGTACCCAAACTGCACTTTGACGAGAAGAACTTTCCAAAAGCCTCAGCTTTCGCTGCGCTCTGCCTGACTTCGACACTGTTGGCCTGGGTCAAGGTCGGGATCTCCGAGGAACGGCTGCTATGGCCACCAGCACGTTTGATCGTAGTCCACCACTCTCGGCTGGAGAGACCTCCAGCGCTGATCTTGCGCCTTACTGTCGCAATGTGGGCCATCTTTACTCGATGCAGAGTGGCGACTGCGGCAGTTGCTGCCTCCTTGAAGATTGAAAGAAGTGCAGCATCATCTGGGGACGCCCGATGGCGCCTCCACGCCTGTTGTTTTCTGTCAACACATGCTTGGCATTCAGGAGACCACCAGATTGGGTTGCTGGCTCGCTGCTTCAATACTTTGGATGGTATGAATCGTTTCATTGCCTCTGTGACTTTCCTGGTGAGTTTGTCACATGAGGTGTCAACGTCATCAGTAGCAAGGAAGGACCAGTCTGAGTCGCGCAGGAAGGCGCGTAGGCGGGGCCAGTCGGCTTGCTGGTACCGCCATACTGTGCGCTTGGTCGGACGGTCTGGGGTTGGTGCCACATCAAAATGTGCAACTATCACTGCATGATCGGATTTGCCAAGGGGTGGGTGCAGAGGCGTGACGATTCTGCCTGGTAAATCTGACATTACGAGGTCCAAGGTGTTGCGACCACGGGTTGGCTCATGGACGAGCTGCTCAAGACCATACATGTGGCACATGTCCTCTGCATATTCGCCTGCACGTGTCGTTCGACTGCTGTGGAGCCAGTCTTGGTTGTGCACATTAAAGTCACCAGCTAGAATCACAGGCGAATTTCGGCGCGCTGTCGACTCGAGGCCCACAGATATGGCGTCAAAGATGGTGATGTCCGTGTCTGAGCACGTTCCAGGGCGGTAAGCTGCACATATGACCACAGACTGGCCGTTGCACAGCTTGACGCTTAGCCAGATGAGCTCCTGATCAAGCACGTCGATTGTTTCCAGCTCCCGCATAGCGAGGGAAGTCTTAACCCAGACTGCCACACCACCGCCATGGCGAGTCCTGTCACGCCGCAAGGGTGAGTAATAGCCAGGGACCGTCAGCTCTGCTTGCGTAGTACTTTCTGGGGTGAGCTTGGTTTCTGTGATGATGGCGATATCAGGTTGGACTTGGTCTAGGGTGTGCTGGAACTCACCAAGTTTGGATTGCAGTCCGAAGGCATTTGTGAGCAGGAGCGTTAGGCTGGGGGGCATCATTTGGATTGCTGCTCAGTGCGTTCCTTAAATCGCCATGGCCTCGCGTACAGGGGCCTTGGCCAGAAATTCTCAGTTGTGACTAGGGTGAGGTCCTTAGCGTCCACAGTTAGGTGGGCAGACACTCTTCCTGCCTCCGTGGTGTGGAGGCTGCAAGTGTGCACCGTTGCCGTACCCCCTGCTGCAACTGCACGCTGCTGGGTGAAGCTTTTCAGTCCCTCCTCAGTGCAGCTTGAGCTTAAATTGCCTACATACAAAACTGCCCTCCTGGACCTGGGAGGCTCTCCTGACACCAGTTGCCAGCTGTCGTCGTCTAAGACCTCCAGAACTGGCTTGGAGCGATGTTTAGCTCTCCTGCTGTAGGGGCCCTCAATGCCAGTGATCTCAGAATTACTGTCTTCCTCACTGGACGCCTCAGGCTCAGGGTCACTGCCAGTGTCACCCACGCTACGGGGATCACCCGTACTAGCAGTGCACGCGGCAGCCTGGCCTGTGCGGGTACTACGGGTACGATTTATTGACGATTTCGTAGATCTACGCTTCGTACGCTGGCTCTGCTGAGAAGCTTGAACATTTGGGAGAACACTTGCCTTGGCAATGGCGGCTTCCTTGAGGGAGACAACTTCCTGAGTCAGGCCTGACACTTGCCGCGACAGGTCATTGATTCTTTTGTTGAGGCGATCCTCGCGATCGGCCGACTCGGACGCTAAGTTCGCCAGGGTCTTGATAACCTCAATCACAGACGACTCAATACCCGGGAGGGAGCACAGCAGTTTCGTCTCGACCTCTGAGAGCCCCTTGAGGGCGGCCTTTGTAGCTGGGGGCATGGCCGCCAGAGGTGGGTCAGCCCTACTACACGATACTAACTAACTAATACTGCTAGTGGTCCTCTTGGCCACGCCGACGGGCTGCCAGAGACTGAAAAACTGCGGAGCTCAAAAATTTGCTTCCACTTCAGTACACTTCAAAAAAGTGTGTCTGTTCAGCACCTGCATGAGCGACACTGACTCACCCTGCTATCTGGTGTTCACGAGATATTTGTCGCGCTGGATACGGAGCGTCTCTGTAAGTTTGTATCCCTGGTGATGTTTGTGTCTGGAGAGCACAATTATAAGTGGTGCTCTTCAGGCACAATCTTCCTCAGCCTACTCAAGCTCAACTGATGAGGGGTGAATTCCCCGAAACACTGTGTCTTGATCAGGGAGTGGTGCTTTCTTGCATGTTTGCCAAGTGGACGGTTCGGAGGACTTCTCATATCTTCTTGGTGGCAGTCGTGAGTCAGTGAATTGAGAATTCGAGTCGGCAGGAATAGCGCAAGCACCCACATAGGGAGCAACACAGACTTCCCCCATTATCGCCGAAGTCGCACAAACCTCTTCTTCACAATGTCTGCACCATACAGCAAATGGTTAATCAGGCATGTCTTGTCAGGTCCGATAATCTCTGATATAACAGCAAGGAGCCCTGTGCGTGTTGTGTAACGCACGCACAACAATTATTCACCACTACTACTCCGCACACAGCACTCACAATGGCGGACTGGAAGGTAAAAAAAGGACTGAAACTTGGAAATCAATTATTTAGGTAAGGATAGAGAAAACAACAACCGAACTTAATAGTGGGAGAACTAATCAACAAAGAGAAATAAAATTGGAACTCTCCACGGAAGCGGCGGGGGCGGGGCTAGGCAACGTGGAGAAGTTCGAATGACGTTTGCGGGTACGCACGCAGCGCGGTCAATGGGGTTTCGGCCAGCAAGCGTGGGGTTGCTCACCAGTTCAGCAAGCGAAGCATACACATGTAGTATCCCTGCCTGACCAATACGGAAGTAGTACGGAACTAATACGGAGCTTTGCCTGATGTATATTTAGTGTATCTCCGTATGTAAGCGTACGGCAGCTGCTGCATAAAAGCGGCTGCGCATTTCTGTTTTGAAGAAGATGAGATTTTGATAATAACGAGCTATTCAACCTTCAGGTGTGCACCGGAGAGAAAGTCAGTTATTTTGCCGTTTCTTCTTTCACTAATAATTATATCTCAGGTGTGTACCTGAAAGAAATAGAATAAAAGTAATTCTTGTTGATTTCACCGCGCCCACCACTCGGCTACCCATTACACAAATAAGGCTCCTCCATATGCATCAGAGATCAAGTGCAGTTCGTTTTTTCGAGCTCGTAGACTTTTTGCCTCTCTTTTAGCCCAGCCGGCATCATGCTGGACTGGAGAAAGGTATAGTATGTTTAGGTAGATAGCAGTAGTAGTGGTAGTAGTACTAGTAGTAGTTGTAGTCTAGGTAGGACACCGGTGGCAGGCCGTCGTCATGGGTGAGCTTTCAAGTGAAGCCCAGACGAAACTGCTTTGTTCCCTCCCAGGGATTGAGCACTCGCTGTTAGGAAAAAGGGAGGGGTGTCAACACAACGAAACATTAATTAAACGAACCATAAAGAAGACCTTGTATTTTTGTACCTTTTCTAACGCCATGATCCGCCAAAGACTATGAATGCCTGGGGAAGTCCCAGTTTAGGTATACTGTCATATTCAGTTCTCACGCAATTTGTTACAATTCAAGCCAGTATATTGTTCATTCTTCGGCGGCCAGTTATTTGTCTGCATTGTCAAACAATGCATCATTAGAAATTAACAGTGGTGTATGTGAACTGTGTGTCTGCAGTGTCAAACAATGCATCGTTAGAAAATCAATTGTGTTTTCTTAGCTTTGCAACTAACCTCTTGCTTGACAATAGAGGAAAAATGCCGAAGACTATATTGACAGTGGTGTATGTGAACTTGGCAACCTAACCAAGTTGCCAACGAATCATGTTGTGGTAAGGAGTCTAGGTTATTTCTGAAAACAAGGTCATGATTCGGGCTTTTAGATTAGAACTACAATATCCTAGACACGGTGTTTTGTGCACTACCCGGAACATAGCAAGAGCAACATTGTCTTTGTGCTTTGTCGTTTGTAGTTTATTGAACAATAATCAGATCCAGACTTTAAGTGATGGTGTGTTCACTGGTCTACCAAACCTCCAAACACTGTAAGTATTCTCAAATGCACCACTGAACGCAGAGAATAGTAATTATGTAGCGGGCCGCAGTCTCTCTCGGAGGCAAATGCACATGGGTCTCAGTGAACACACTGTAACTGGCAATTGAAATGTAACTATAACTGACAATGAAATTAACTGGCAATGAAATTAACTTAACTGGCTACTTAATTAGCTGACTGGCAACAAAAGAATCGTGAGCAGCAGCTTTTATGCGCAGGCAAACTCCGTACACTAATGTACGGGGATACGCTAACGTACGGGGATATAGTAACGTACGGGAATATGCAAACATACGGGAATACAGTAACGTACGGGATATGCTATACGCTAAACACTATACGCTATACGTTGTGAAGTCACCAGCGTGCCAACACTACACCTCCCCTCTCAAATACAATCACATCCTTGTGATTCGAATACTAGGTGATAGCTGGACACCAACAACTGGCTGCTATTTAGAAGAAACTGGCGGCATGCATGGTCGCGTCGGAATAAACTCGACGATAGGAGATAGGCAGAATGGATGTCTTGCATATACAGGTATGTAGTCATGAACATTATTGTAGATCGCAAATTACTGGGAGAGCGTCAACCGGAGTATGGCAAAAAATATCGGAAATGATAATGTTTGGAAGAGACAGAAGAATGAACTGATAAACAAATCATAAAGTAGAAGCACACCAGGTCCACACGATCTCACGGGGTCAAAAGGGAAAAGAAACGTCCTCCAAATAGGACCTGAAAAACCACAGCACTCTTGCTGCACAATGCTGGCACAACCCGCCAGGAACATCGCAGTTAAAAAAACCCGGAACTGAATACACTATAAGGGGCATTGTCACACACATTGTCCCAGGTTAGCGGCTCACCATGATCGGACACCTACCAAAGTAAACTGGATTCACACACTCGCAGAAAGGAAGACTGAAGAAAATAGGAAGACTGAAGGAAGACAGGAAAGAAAACGCCATATCGGGAATTAGCTTACATTGGGCATAGAGATTAATCGGTAAAGACGCTGTCATCATTTCTGGTTATCAATGGATGTGGCGGGCAGGCGTAGGAGGAGCGGCGGCTGGCACACCCGGTTGGGTTGGATGTGGTGGGCAGGCGTCGGAGGAGCAGCGGCTGCCGCATCCGGTTGGGCCATGCATTCGGTGAAATGGGCATTCTGTGAACTGGGTATTCGGTGAGTTGTCTTTCGGCGAGCTGTCGGTCGGTGAACTGTCTCTCGGTGAACTGTCGTTCGGTGATAGTATTATTGACAACACCTCGTAGCATGAAAAGAAAATCAGCCAGTACGGGAGATGTTGATATTTCGGGACACCGGCCATGCTGGTCGTACGGAACGAGAAAACAATTTACCGCTGCTACCAATTTTGTAGCACCATTGCTACCAATGGGAGTAGGAAGCAAGTTTTTAGCTCCTGCCTTTCCATCTATGGAATAGCCTTTCGGCCACTTTTGTAAGTATAGGTGGCCCTGGAACTAGTCCCAGCCCTAATATGGTGGAGAACTCAAATATGGACCTGGCCTTGCTGCTGGATGGGGAGATTCGTGACTTGGCCAAAAAGTCAGGACTTGCAGGTGTGGACTCGTTGGCCCGACCGGACCTTGTACTTCAACTTCGCGCCATGGACATCGGCAAATCAGGTATGCCAGCGCTAGTGAGCTCTATCAGTGCACTGTCCTCGACTATCACTGCATTAACTGTGGAAATGGTCTCCCTCAGGGAGGACAGGGATAGGGAAGTTAGAGAAATGAAAGCAACCATTGATGGCCTCGTGGCGAAGATGATACACCTTGAGGAAGGCGGGAGTCCAAACCTGATTGCACAATCTACAACCCCGAGTACAACGTACAGTAGTGTAGCTAGTTCAGGTAGTACAGGGGCTGGGGTGAGGGAAACCGTAACTCGGACTCCCCCCAACGCACACTCTACCAACCGTACCCGCACTTCCCAAACATCGACACATGTACACCAGACCTCATCACGCACTGAAACACCACCGGCTGCACCAACCAGATCAACATGGGCTACAACTAGTAAAAGTGAATATACGGGAAGCAGTTCGGATGGCTGGGCCGAAGTTGTACGGCGTCGGGTCACGTCCCGGTACGTGAAGCCTGTGGCCCCAGCTAACCCCAACATCCTCACAGGCGTAGAAAAAGTTGCGAAATCTGTGTTCTACGTGGGCAATGTCCACATGGAGTGTAGCGCTAACGCAATCACTGACTGGTGCAAGGACCGTGAGGTTGAGGTGCTCAATTGCAGTATTAGCGAATCCCGGACCTTTGGCACAGCATATGCACGACTGACTGTCCTAGCGACGGATGCAGGCAAAATACTCAGTGCAGGATTTTGGCCGGCAACAATTAGCCACACCATCCGTAAGTGGCGCTTTGCCGACGGTACCAACGTGACTGAACGTGGTGGTGATAGTTCCTCGTCATAATCATGTTGTCTATGTCTCCCCTCAACTTGCATGCTACCCCATTCTACCCCAGATCAGAATCCGACCTAACGCTGATAACCATGAATTGTCGGTCTCTCGTCAATAAATTAGCTGAACTTTCGCGTGTTCTGGAGAGCACTAAGCCAAGTATTGTTTGCCTCACGGAGACCTGGCTGTGCCCATCTGTTTCCGTGCATGTACCGGGCTATTCCTGTTTCAGAAGAGACAGACCAGCACACGAGAACAGGAATGCACACTCTTTCACTAGAGGATATGGTAGTGTCGCCGTGCTTGTCCGGACTGATGCCTTTCAACATATTCTCCACAGACTCGACCTGCAGCGTCAGGGCTGTGAATCTGCCTGGGTGGTAGTTAAGTCTCAATGCACCCCTAACCCCATTCTTGTATGTTGCATGTATCGACCCCCTTCCCAATCGGCGGAACAATTGTCCTTCTTCTCGGATATGCTGGTCGATGCTATACAGTCCTCTTGCTATGACGAGTGTGACTTCTTCCTGACGGGTGATTTTAATGCCAAACATAATGATTGGTGCTCTTCTGACTCCACCTCTACAGCCGGTACCAACCTACAGACAGTTTTTTCAATGCTTGGGCTCCAACAACTAGTGAGTTTCCCAACATACACTTCATCAGCGGGTGCCAACTCATGTCTTGACTTGTTGGTAACCAACAAACCCCGACATGTCCTCTCAGTCGACCACGCAGCTCCTCTTGGCACATCTGATCATCTGCAGGTTGTTTGTACGCTCAACTATGCATCGTGCTCGACACCACAAGCGACTGCTAAATCGTCCCTCCATCCCCAGGCTCAGTACAGGTGTTAGGTTCCCCCTCCCGTACCTTTTTCTAGCTGGCCTGCAAGCACTTGCGTACGCACCTTGTCTCCTTTTGCTCCGTTGGCCTGGGTAGCTACTTGCCCGCCCATATTTGCCATAGCTACCCAGGCCCTTTATCTTGCCGTTTAGACTTGATCTCGCTCTCTCTCTTTTCTCACTCTTCAATGTAGTCGTTTCGTTCGTCTTGGTCTCTTGTCTCGTCGTCTACTAGTATAATAAATGTCGTTCCCACTAACTTGTTCCCGTTGTAATGTCTGGATATGTCGTCAGTCGTCCTGTTTCGAACTCAACACAGGTATAAACAAGTGCCTACCCGTGTCTGGCAGGTTGTGAATGAAGACTTGTCTAGGTTGGACTGGTCATTACTTCATCGGCATTCTGATGTTGATGATGCCATTGTCCTGTTTGATGCTTTACTACAGTCAGCATTCCATCGTCATCTGTTGCCTTACAAAGTTATTCCGCGGACAGGAGACTACATTAGGCCTCGTCCTACTATGCGTGATGCATCCCGACCCTGGATCACTCCGGACCTCAAGTGTGCTGTGAAACTGAAGCGAGATTTGTATAGCATTTATAGGAAGTATCCAACCAGTGAAAACTTCATTGCCTTTAAGCGCAAGCGTAACAAAGTGAAATGTTTGTCACGTACCCTCCATCGTCAGTATGTACAGTCGGTTCATGCCACCCTGTCTTCCCATGATCGCCCTAGTCTCCATCAATTTCTCCGCCATCTCCGTAAGAACTGTAGTCGGGAGCCGATCCGATCAATGACAGCTTCAGACAGCACGGTAGCAACAGATCCCGCAGACATAGCAGACATATTGAACACACAGTTTACGTCGTTTGGACTTCCTGACGACCCTACGTGGCCTATACCACCACTCACCCCTTCACCCTCAATACCTGCGTCCCTCCTATCATTGTCGACTGGTACAGCCCAAGTGAGGAAATATCTCCATAATCTGAAAACTGGCAAGTCCCCTGGTCAAGACGGAATTACCAACGAAGTTTGGAGAGCTCTTGCTCCGTCTGTTGCCTATCCTGTGTCAATTATCTTGAATATGTCATTTCGCGAAGGGAAATTCCCAGCCATGTGGAAAACTGCGGTAGTCGTGGCCACCTACAAAAATAGAGGACCACGCACCACCCCCAGCAACTATCGCCCTATCTCATTGCTCTCTACTTTATCAAAAGTGTGCGAACGTGTTGTATATGACATCATTTATGATCATGTTCGCATTTCACTTTCGCCAGCACAGTCTGGCTTTTGTCGAGGTGACTCCACCAGGTACCAGGTTACCCGCCTCGTGCAAGACATCCACACCGCCCGGAACGCCCATAACCATGTTGGTTTAGTTTTCTTCGATCTCGCAAAGGCCTTCGACACTGTTTGGCACAGGGGTCTCTTAGCTAAGTTGCGAACAGTGTATCGCATTGATGGCAAGGCTATCGGCTGGCTCTCATCGTATCTCTCTAACCGACATCAGCTTGTACGCCTCTCAACTGTGTTATCGGAGCCTTTACCCGTTACTTCTGGAGTCCCCCAGGGTTCAATCCTTGGGCCACTGCTATTTCCCCTGTATATTAATGACCTCCCCGATATTGCCCCTGGTGTCAGCCTTTTCGCTGACGACACAGCTCTGCTTTGCTCCAATGCTTGCCCTATACGACT